GCCTTTGAATTTGGGGTGCTGGAGAAAACTATTGAGAATACCTTGAATTGCAAAAATAGGTCATAATGAAACAACCTGGAGCACATAATGCAAAAAGGCAAAAATCACTAAAGAACCCCGATGTCCCTTACTGAGTTTGATAGCCCCGGAGAACACGCTTTTTAAAATCTTGTTTTCAGAAGATCTTGGGGGACTTTGAGGCAAAAGAAAAAGGAGGGATAGAGAAACCACTTTGTGGTCCAAAAAGGTCACCCACATCTGACCTAGAAATTATCCATCATCAAAGAGATTTCTACTCAGCCCAAAGAAAACGATTCCTCTCTTCTTGAGCATCCCAAAGCTTTTTCAAAAGGGAACTGGATTTCTTTGCTTTTTCATGGAAGAAATTTCACTTCTCATCCAAGAAACTTCTTCAATTCTGACATCTTCAAGGGAAAAGCAAGAAAGTTCTGTTGCCTTTTGAAAAAAGCACCTTTGGGACAACCCTAACCTGGGGGGCTGAGAATCTCCATATAGACTCTTACTGAGCAGTTGGGTTGAAAAGTTCCAGCACACCCTATCCATTACAACTCCAGAAAGGAAAACCATCATACAAATGCTTGATTCGAAAGGAAATTCCATTGAGGAAAGGGCTCTGAAGTTTCTCTGAGGAAGCCTCTTACTAGGATGCCTACGAACAATCCAATTGTCTGATTTTTGGATGTAGGTCCAGGGAGCTGGAGCCAAAGGCTGGAGGACCATGTCATCATTGTTCAGTCGGGAGGATGAAGATCAGTTGCTGGCTCCTGAAGCAGCTGCAGACCAGTAAGAGATATCTAACTAATTACAATTCTCAAATTGTCTTTTTAAAAAATAATTTATTCTATTTTATTTTGATTTGAACATCATCTTCCATGAAACTGTGTGTCGTCTGGGTACAAATATTTTGTGCAAATATTTTATACAATAACCATTACAATTTACAGCCATATTTATTATTTTATCTATTCTTAATACTAATATTAATATATACCATACCTAATACTATAACAATCATCTTCTTAATTTATTTAACGTTGTGAAAACATTTTCTCTATTTCACTCATCTGCTTTTTTCCACTTTTCATATTTATTCTGTAACCATTGATAAAATAATTCCCATATGTTATAATAATTGGATTGTTCTTTTTTTAAATTTTAAGTGTTAACCTATTCATTTCTGCACATTCTAATATTTTCCTAATCACATTCCCATCCGTAGGAATCTCTTCATTTTTCCAATTTTGTGCAAATACAATCCTATTTCTCAAATTGTCTGAATAGGGCAGATATACACCTTCATTCAATCACTTTTTATCCTCTTTGCTGTGATCTTCAACTTTCAGAACTTGTAAGATATGTGGACTTCGACTCCCACAATTCTCCAGCCAGCCAGACAAATATAAGAGAGTTGAAGTCCCCATATCTTAAAAGTTGTCAAGGTTGAGAAACATTGTTTTAGAGGGATAGCATACACAGAACTATCCCTTTACCCAGACTGCCTGTTCATTTTTTATAGTCGTAACAGGAACTTATGGAGGAGAACTCCTCCCTCCAAACACAGAGCGCCCCAGATTCTCAAAAAAAAATCACCATCAATCAATTCACATTCTTGGCACTTCATTAAAAGCCACAAACTACCCTGAGTGCTTCACTTCCTTATGTTTTTCTGATATGAGCTGTTCTTGGCTACAGTTGGCAGAGAAAGCTATTGTTGCCCAAAGGATCAGGAAGGAAATGCACTGGGCCTTCAACTTCCTTATTTTTGTCTAGAAATAAGTGTTAGTGTTTTGTTTTCTAGTCACGCCCACCTTGCAAAACCAGATTCATGTTAAGGAATGTTGGCTTGGTTTTGGTCCCATTGTGGTTGATGGTTTTGCATCCTTTTGTAATTACGTTCAAATATGAGCCCACCCTTGGGATACTGCATTCAGTTCTGGTCACCATGATATAAAAAAAGATGTTGAGACCCTAGACAAAGTGTAGAGAAGAGCAACAAAGATGGTAAGGAGTCTGGAGGCTAAATATGTACAATGAATGATTTAAGGGAATTAGGTACGTCTAGTCTAACAAAGAGAAGGACTAGGGGTGATATTATAGCAGTATTTAAGGGGCTGTCACAGAGAAGAGGGAGTTAACATTCTCCAAAGCACTTGAAAGCAAGCCAAGAAGTAACAGAGAGAAGAACATTAAAGAGAGAGTCAACCTAGAATTAAGGAGAGGTTTCCTGACAGTGAGAACAATCAGTCAGTGGAATGGATTATTTCTGAAAGTTGGGAGAACTCCATCATTGGAACAGTGGTGAAATTCAGTAGCTTCTGGCAGGTTCTGGAGAACCGGTAGCAGAAATTTTGAGCAGTTGGGAGAACCAGCAAATACCACCTCTGGCTGGCCCCAGGAGTAGGGAGGGAATGTGGATTTTGCAGTATCCTTCCCCTGCCACACCCACCAAGCCACGCCCACAGAACCAGTAGTAAAATAATAATAATTTCACCACTGCATTGAAAGAAGAGACTGGATAGCCATTTGTCCAGAATGATATAGGATCTCCTGCTTGAACAGGGGATGGACTAGAAGATCTCCAAGGTCTATTTCAACCTATTATTCTATATATGGGTATAACCCTACTGGTGCCCATCATAACAGGGTCCCTGCAAACTAATTGCAAATATTCCTTGTTCTCTCTCTTTGCCTAGCTAGAATAAGTCAGCTGTTCCTTTTGGCCTTCTGCCCTCCAGTGGGCAGATAAAATGTGGCACGCTGTGGTTGAATGGAGTCTTCAGCCTCCAAATCATTCATTCATTCATTCATTCATTCATTCATTCATTCATTCATTCATTCATTCATTCATTCATTTGTATTTATTATAGTTGCTCAACTCCAATGGAAGTTTAAACTAAACCTTCAAGCTATACAAAAAATCTAGAAAATATGGTCTTTATTTTTATGGTATCTATTAGCCTCCATTCATCATTTAAAAAGCTCAAATGAGATTAAAAGGGTAAAAACTACAATTATTAAATCTATGAAAGCAAAGCAGTATCAGATACAACAGTGAAGACCTAACTCGGAAAAGTCTCTTTAGGGAAATTACTAAGTGGGCATACAAAACTCACAAGTGGCAACAGCATAAGAAAAGAGAGATACATATCTACTATCAGAAAGATCTTCCTTTGCACACCGTACTATAACCATACTCACAGGTAGGTTGCCAAACATGCCAAGTTCCAGATGTGGGCCAGATTGTACTGCATCGGCCTTACATTCTTTAGGATTGGTATGTACTAATGTTAATGCAAGGCTTTTTTGGATTAAGATCACATTTCCAGATAGTTTCCCACTTAACCAAATAGATGTTTTTTTTACTATACATTCCATCTATGATAGCTATTAGAGGTATGTCTAGTTTAATGAAAAGAAGAACCAGGGGAGACATGATAGCAGTGTTCCAATATCCCAGGGGCTGCCACAAAGAAGAGGGAGTCAAGCTATTCTTNTGAATACTATGAAATTTGGGATAATTGGTATAAATGGTTGCATAACAGGAATAAAGTTAATTCAGCCAAGAAACAATAGAGAAATTTATAGAACTGTAGATGAATGTATATAAATATAGAAGTGATATAAGATTGATATATACAGGTATGATGACACAACAATGTTAATGTGATGATTGTAAGATGTTATAGAGAGAAAATAATCAATAAAAATTTGATCAATAAGGAAAAAAAAAAAAAACCCTGATGGATTTCTAACCAGGTTAAAATCTGTTTAGCAGTTTGAGAACCACCAGGCTTCATTGCTGCCATCTAGTTGAGTGTCTTATGCTGCCATTTCCTTAATAATAATGTTCATTAATAAGTTAATTAAAATTGACATTATTGTGTGGTCTGTAATTTAATTCTATTTTTCCTCTTCACGCCATCAAAGTTCTGTCTCTTGTAACCAAAACTTTGTATCTCAGAAACGGGGTCCCCAAATAGATTTTGAATCTTCCCCTCCCATTGCTTGCTTCAGCTTTACTTTCAAGGCACCCTCTAACACAGTGGTTCTCAACCTTCCCAATGCCGCAACGCTTTAATACAGTGCCTCATGTTATGGTGACCCCCAACCATAAAATTGGTATCTCAGTTCCTAAGACCATTGAAAATGCGTGTTTTCCGATGGTCTTAGGCAATTCCTGTGAAAGGGTCGTTCGAGCCCCAAAGGGGTCCCAACCCACAGGTTGTGAACCACTGCTCTAACAGATTTTTCATTTAATTTAATAAAAAAGCACCCATATAAATCTGCCTATAACAGCTGTCAAGAGAAAAGCTGTACTCATTATATATGCAATGCCAGATTAACCTAAGAAATTTAAATAGATTTGCCTTAGCATGTTGTGTCATCAAGGAAAGCCATAAATGCTTGGCTTGAGCATAGCATGTTATGTGAACATAATTATACGCTCTGAACCCATATTTAGGGCTACAAAATTTCCCAACATCACCAAGCCAGTTTTCATGTCTAGAGCAGGATTAGAATCTCGTGCAATAAGTTGGTGTATTTACCAAAAAGCACTGTGATTTTGCAAGATAAGGCCATCTTCAGTTTTATTATCCAGTCACTCAATTTAAAGGAGTTGCAAGTAGCATTTGATGGTAATAACAGGCATAAAAAATGCTTTCCTAGGCACCACATTGCTAATTTTTAAATCCATCCTAATACTCCTTGTGATATGTTTGGTTATTTCAGCTATCAATACCTTCATCTTTGAAATAATATCCCCTAACCACGAGGACTAGAAAATGCAGAACCTTGGGAGTGTAGAGGGAGGTAACAGAATTAATCACAATTAATAAACAAAATTTAATTTAGCACTTTGTCTCTACCATACAGCAAAAGAAGAAAAACATTTTTTTCTTTCTTCTTCCAAAGAAGAAAGCTTTTAGCTTTGCTGATTCAGAGCTAACAATATGCAGCTTCAGCAGATGTCAATGGCTAAATGTGCACCCTGGGATATGTTTAACTAATGTAGCAAAGGATTAATTCTGTTCCCAGTGTGCTGTTCAGACCATCTAAATATTTTAATGGAACAAATCCTCCATTCAATGGGAATGTGAGATGTGATCTAGTTCACTCATCTAAATTATAATTTGGTTTGTTTTTGGCTTATGCAAATCCATTCCTCTGGCTTTGTGTTATTTGAAAACTATGTTAGAGTGCTCAACATATCACAGCAGAAAACATCAAAGCAGTTATCTGTGAATAACCATGGTAATACAACCAGCATAAGAATTGTAGAAAAAAATAGTTGGATATTTCCACATGGCCTAGAATGTGAATGAATAGGAAAAAAATGTAGGAAAATAGGAAAATGGGGAGGGGGGAATATGTGGAATCTTTGGTTTTTTTTATTTTTCCTTGGATGCTGTTAGTTCTTTGAGCTAGGACAGGCTAAGTGTCAGACATGAATAATCAGGGCATTCGTTGAGTTCAAAGCACAGAAGAGTTTATTACTGCTACCTCTATATAGGAATCTAGTGGCAATGAAATGGCTCCAAACTGATAACATGTTTAACCCCACTTTCCAGCTCAGCCTGCTTTTCTCCTACAGCAGAGGTCTCCAAACTTGGCAACTTGGGGACTTCAATTCCCTGAATTCCCCAGTCGGCATGTAAGAAACAGAGGAATCATGGAATGTTACTGTATCATTGTAAGGTTTACTAACAGAATCTTGAAAACCAGTCCAAGAATATCTCTGCCTTATATTAAACAAAATCCATGTTTGGCTGAGTTTCTTTCTCATCATTTCTTCATGCTCTGGGCTGTTCAATCACTGAGTCCTCCTAAATGGTTTGCTCATTCCTTCGAAATTCCTTTACAAATCCCAAAATTGTCTAACCTGATATAAAATCAAGGCAACAGACGCTAGATATGAAATGCTGATCAATACAATTATTTACACAAATTATAAACCACAGGCTGCAGTTATCAGAGAAAGCTTCATGTGAGACACTTATGGATTGCAAATTTAATACTAATTTATCAGCAGACTACAGAACAACTTTATGAAGGGAAAGTTTGGTAATGGCAGATCTCCACATCCCACAATTCTGAAAATAGCAGTAGCACTTAGCAATAGCATTTAGACTTATATATCACTTCATAGTGCTTTACAGCACTCTCTAAGCAGTTTACAAAGTTAGCATATTGTGCCCAATAACCTGGTTCCTCATTTTATCAACCTTGGAAGGATGGAAAGCTGAGTGAACCTTGAGCCAATCAGGACAGAACTGCTCGCTGAGGGCTGAGTTAACATGCATTTTAACCACTGCACCACCACGTCTCCTTGCCACTTGCAGTCAGGAAATCAACTCAATATATTGCAAAGGTGCAAGTACATCCCAGAATATACCTTCCCTACTCCAGGTTGACATTGTCTTTCTCCTCTTTGTAAAAGACATTTCAAAATACATTCTCCAAATATTTCACTTCCACAAAACTTAGAACATTGATTTTTATAGAAAATGTTACGAGGAAAAATGATATAGAATTACCAAATTGCAAAAGCTATGTAAATTAAAATCTAAATTTCCTTTGGCAGGAAAAGATGTTTGTGTAGATGAAGGATGATCCAAGTGTAACACAACACTGAACTAGAAATAAGTATGGTTCAAAACAAGATAATTTGCTTTGCTAAAGTTATAATTGTAGCCTATTAACCCTAAACTGTGTGGTCACATATCCATGCTTTTTATCTCTAGCCATGATGCACTGTGCCTTCTTAAATTGTTTCCAAGAAGGAATCTCATGTACTGCCTATTTCCAAATAACTTTGCTTTGTCTCTGATTTCAAAGATTAGATTGGAAATTGAGATCGAACACATTTCTCAGCTCTAAGTGAAAACAATGATTTTAATACATCATGGAGAGAAGCAACAAAGGGAGATTGCAATAGAACATGTTTCACGGCTGGCTGGGGAATTCTGGGAATTGAAGTCCACACATCTTAAAAGTTCCCACAGTTGAGAAACATCGTTTTAGTCATTTGAATCAGGTCTTTTACTGTGTTTTAACGTTAGTAGGGAATGAGGAATTGGTTTGCTTAGAGTACTTGTTAATAGGAGTTGTGTACAAGTCTCAGGAAGTATCTAAGGAAAGGGAAGTCTGACGTGACCTGCCCACTCGGTTCACACCATCTGTAGGGCTCTTGCCTTCTCCCAGGTATTAATCATGGCTACCCAGTCATCAAGACATGGTTTACTTCTACCATCATGTTTCTGTTCTTAACCAACATTCTATCTCTGAACTAAACTAGAATTTGTCTTCCTTTCCCAGGGATTCATCAGTGGCATAGACTTGTAATGCTCCAATTTAGAGAATTTCCTCTATTGAACAACCTGTCTCTACTTTCAATGTGCAGATTAAACCAGGGAAAGAAAATGCACCTATTTTCAATTTCTAGGCATGTTTAATGAGAGATTCTCATCCGTGATTTTTAAAAGCTCAAACCCCCAAAAGGTCAAAATGGATTCAGTTGCTCCTCTTCTTACAAGTTACAGAAAACATTCTTCAACACACATTCAAATCAAACCCCCAAAGCAAAATAGGCAAGGATTAGCCAACCAGATTGTCAGCTCATTTATTAAGTGGGCTCAATGGAAGAGTGGAACATTAAGAGCGGAAAGCTGAAAGTGTACAGTAACATTTAAAACCATTGTAAGAGAGAATCAAAAACAAGTTCATTGGAGCAGGGTGGCTCCTGCCTCTGACTTGCTGCTGAACTCTAATTCATATCAAACAAGGAGGGGGTAAAATGTCTTTTTCTCTCAAGAGGGTTGATCTTTCTCATTTGCATATATCGTATTTCCTGGACTATAAGATGCACCATGGTTTTGAAGAGGTAAATTTTTTTAAAAAAGGTTTTGCACTCTGCAAACTTTCCAAACCCTCCGCACGCCTCATTTTTTGCACAAAAAAAAAAGGGGGNTTAAATAAGCCTCTCATCTGAAACCAAACCAATTACTACAATATTGTTTTAGGGAAGATCAGAGAATATATTTTATATGAGAAACATCCATTTCAATTTCCAGTACTCTTGGGAAAGGCTGGGAAAGACTTATGTCTGAAATTCTGGTGAGCCGTTTCCACTTGGCCAAGAACTGGAGATGAGCTGCATGCCCTCGCCTAGGGGTCACCAACTTTTTGGACCTCAGGAACCACTACATTCATAATTTAAAATCCTGCGGACCACTAATATGATTTTTTTAAAAAGATAAATAGTATTTAGTGCAATATAAAAAATGCAAATAATTTTTATGCGGACCACCAAAATTTTCTTGCAGACCACCAGTTGGTGACTGCTGCCCTAGCCTACAGTCAGGCCAGAGGTAGGTTCCTACTGGTTCGGCCGAGTAGGTAATAAATTGGCCGGCCACGCCCCCGAACTGCCTTCTTGTTTTTTACTATTGCACATGCGCACATAGTGTGCATCAAGCATGCCCATGCCCGAAGCACATCTCTGAGTGAACCAGCAGTAACAGAAGCTGGGACCCACTCCTGAGTCAGGCACAACTGCCAGGAGAATCTTTAACTGTAGCTTTGCTTCCAACTAAGAGCAAATGGAAGATTTGGCTTGGCCATAAGCAGCGTCTTGTGCTTCCGGTTTTATTCTTAGAATTTGGGGGATCTATATTATCACGTTGTCCAATGTAGCTTTAATGCCCCTCCTTTCCTAAATTCTTTTCTCCTTTCAGTCCTCTAGCTGCAAAACCAGCAGAAGAAGAAGCTGAGAAGAAGGCTGCTGGCCTCTGGGATGTCTTTGCTACTAAGTGGCAGCAAACTTCAGCTCTGGAAAAATTGACTGCCAAGGTGGACTCCAGCGAAGAAAAGGTGGAGGGCAGTGGGGGTTCTGGGGTGATGCCAGCTGAGGAAGTCAATGACCTTGGCCACGACAATGACCTCCGAGAGGCTGAAGGTGTGGCCTTCAAGTGGAGCTTCGTAACCAACAAACTGGCTGAGTTGAAGAACAAGAATATTCCCAAAAGTAACTAGGACAGACACAGAAATGGAGGACTTTGAGTGAGTGATCCTTTCTCCGTGATAACAATATATTTTATTATTTCCCAACAGCTTCCTGAAAAAACAGCATTGTGCTTAATGTGAAATGTTCAGTTCCAGATATGGGTGTTGTTTAGGTTGATAACTTTATGAAGCCTTCCCAGAGTGTGTGACTCTGATGCCTTCATTCCATTTCTCTCCTTTTCTCCTTATAAGATGGTTCTTAGACTAATTAGGTTAATGGACATTTAGGAAAATCTCCCTTGCCAGAGACTGTGGCCTATTAAAAAAAATGAGCATCTCCTTCTCTCTTTCCACATTCACCTACTTTGACTTTCTAAGAAAGCTGCTGTCGCAGGACAATTAATCCAAGAGTCCAATCTATAGCGGTCTACAAGCTGATTCTCTGACAATTTCCTGCAATTGTTAGACTTGGATGGAGATGTACGGACCTAGGCTTCCCCAAACCACGAAAGTCACAAAATTGGGAAAGGAACATTCTGGGAAAGTGATTGTTTTGGACCAGAAAGTTCTGACTGAGGCTTCCCAAGAGCATGAAGCAAACTTCTTGTCCCAACAAAAAACCCTTTTTATTAAGTTACTGTGAATTCTGCTCACTCAAATCCAGCAAAGTCTTTCAAGGGAGGATTTACAGTCACAGACTTCATCAAGCTTGGAGAGCTGCCAGGCCAATATCTGCAAAACTTGGGAAGGAGTTTCGGAGAGTCAGGAACCAATTAAGTGAACTAATTGTCTCCTGCAAACTCCATTCCCCTTTCGCTCCTCTTATATTTCCTCTAGGAGGGGCCATTCATTGTCCACCTGTGGCCTTATTCCCAAGTCGACCTCTGTTCTTTACTTGTTCCCTTCGTCTGGCAACTCTGCACATGCACACACTGGGAACAGGCTCCAGCTGCTCTTCTGCCCCACTGATGTCCGACTCCGAAGGCAGCTGGTAACTGGCAGGCAGCTCTGCCCCCCCCCCCTCTGCCTCCGACACAGAGCCCTCGTCAGAGCCTTCCCCAGACTCCAGGACTGGCCCATCTTCCTCCCCAATCTCCTCACTGTCCGAATCTGCTGCCAGCTCCGCTGGCTGCTGGCCAGGCCACAACAGGAGAAGTCCTCGATACAGATCCCTGCTGATAAGACCTGTGCAAGACCTATCTCACAGACTTACGATGATAAAATGAGAGAGCTCCATGCATGGAAATTCCAAACTCTTCTCACAAAGAAATGTGTGAGGCAAATGTTGTTGACCAACTGTAGTTAAACCTGTGCAGGGAACCACTTTCCAATAACTGATAAAGGCATTCGGAATTTGCCAAGGAGATCTCCAAGGTGCTTGGTGCTGGTGTTTGCAGTGCTGTTAGAGCCTGGAAATTCTGTTTTCCAAGTTTATTTGTAGGATTTATGTGCTGCCCATCTCATCCAGAGCTGAAGTTCAATTCCTGGCACCTCAGCAATGGCTGGAAAAGATCTGAAGCCCTGAAAAGCTGTTGTAAACAACAGAGACGGTACCAAGCACCAAGGATTAAAGGCAGTTTGAGCTTAGGGAGTTTCCTTTATCCCTGTTGGACACAGTTATGAGGCAAAAGTGCATACCTTGTAGGCAAACAATGTCTCCAGTTCAATCGCTGGTATCTCTTAGCAGGGCTGGAGAAAAATACAGTGTAAAGTCCTGTTTTAAGGTGGGCTGGTTTGAAGATGATTTCAGATCATCCTCAAATCGGGAGGGGGAAGTATAATGGAAGACAAGTCCAAAATCAGGGTAAGATAGCTTTCTAGGTTCATAACCAGGGTGGGCTTCAAAAATTTCAGCAACGGCTTCTCTGCCCGGTTGCTGGGTGGGCGTGGTCAGAGTGGGTGTGGCCTAGTCGGCCTCCTGCACCACAGCAGGGAGGGAGCTTTTCTTGAGCCTCTGGGAGGGCAAAAACTGCCTACCCTGGGCTCTGTGAGGCCCATTTCCCTCCCTCCCGGAGTCTCTGCACGGGCTCTTCATTTACCTCGCATCCAAAAAGGGCCGCGTGGAGACTCCTGGAGTGGGCGGGGTGGGCGGGGCCAGCCAGGGGTGGGATTTGGAGGTTCTTCAAACCAGCCAAAACATTAGCTATAGGTTCTCCTGAACCCATAGCAGCCCACCCCTGTATTATAACTTATAGAAGCTAGTAGTTCAGATAGACAAGGATTATAACCCTAAAATCTGTCAACAGATTAGCTAAATAGATTGGCTCATTTGGCTAAATATGTGGAATAAGAGTGAATCCAGGCTGCAAAACTAGAGTGTCCAAGATTCTGCTACGATCTTCACTTATCTCTGGCATCTCTATCTTACTGGACAAAATGTTTTTTTCCTCTTGCAACACTCATGGGCAACAGGTGACTTTCAGGAAGTAATTAGTCTCTAACCACTCAGCTCAAATCTTTATGACTAATAGTGCAGCACGATTGGGGGGGGGGGGGATAAAGCTTCAAGCATCTAATGAGATCCTTATCTTCTATGAACCAAGAATCATCAACAGAAAGATTGAAAGATTGACAACTCTATCTTATGGATCTCCACTCTCAAAATGTTCCTGTTAAAGCTGGCACCATTTTTAATGAAGGTAGTATCGCTGGATTCAAAGTGTTGGTTTGTCATGCTGTGTGGAAGACTGTCTACAGGTGAGTTCAATGGTTCTCTCTCTGCAGAACTTTCAGTCCACACACCAAGCAGACAACTACCTCATTAACACCATCATTTTCCTTCAGATCTTTACTGATGACTATCATTGAAAACATCGCAATCTGTTAAGATGTTCCAGATACGTATCTAGTGTTTCACTGCTTGAGAAGAGGCTTCTGTTCAAACATGGTGTCCTCTGCTTCTCTTCCCCCTTCCCTGTCTGTCCCAAGAAATGTTGAAATTAAGTGTGTTGAAAATTAAATACTTTAATAGCCAGAAATAGCTTCAGATTGATCATTGCCTTTTATGTCATGGAAATATAAGTTCATAGATTTCATTGAGGGCCACATCAGGGTTGTATTTGACCTCTGGGTGGGGGGGGAGAGTGGGCATGGCCAGAATGGGCATGGCCATTCAACGTCACTCATGTCGAGGGCGCCTGTGGTGTCCCAAGTGCTCTGCCAGAGAAAACAGGCTCCCGAGCTCCGTTTTTGGCTGGGACGGCATCCTGCAACCCTCTACCTTAAAGCAGGGTTTCTAAAGGACAAGACATGTTGTACAGTGTCTTCGGCTCTTAAAAATGACCACGTTTACACATTTTGAAATATAGGCTTGCAATTTATAAGGTTGGAGCTTCAGTGGTTCATTTTAATGGAATCTTCTATGTTCACGGAATGGGCTAGAATAAATTTAGAATAAATGTAGGTTTTGTATAAAAGAATTGTGATATATCTAGCTACCACAAGGTGGCAACAGAAAGACTGTCATCCGAAATTAAAACCTTGTTAACTTTCTGCAGAACAGTAATACAGAGTTTGTCAAGCAGCATTCATCATGCACAGACTGCAATTTTTCCTGGGCATTCGATGGAAAATATCAATTGTCTCAGAAGGATATAAGATCTGTGCAAGCACAGCGTTTCTGAAATGAACCTTCAGTTATAAAGTCACCTTGCACAAGCGGATGCCATAATAATGTCTGAGATTTTGAGCTCCACCTTATAAGAGAGGAAGCCTTACCATTTATTTATTTGTTTTAAGAAATGTATACGGCTGTATATGTAAGGATATTTAGACAGCTCACAAATCATCTCCACAACTTTACACCTGACTCTTTAGCAGGTGTGATGTTTGTTGGTTTGTTTTTTGCAGCTCTGTTGTGAAATGATAAAATAAGCTCTGAAATCAGTTTTTCACTGGAAACTGAAACCTTGACAAGACCCCGGGGCAAGCCATTTCTCTACTGGCAGAATTCTTTGTCCTCCTTCCTTTCTCCTGGCTATTTATAAGGAGCCCTGGTGGCGCAATGCTTAAAGTGCAGTATTGCAGACAAACTTTGCCCATAGCCTGGAGTTTGATCCTGATGGGGGCTCAAGGTTGACTCAGCCTGCCAGACTGAGAATCCAGATTGTTGGGGACAATATAGAAACAATGTGTATATTCTAAACTCTCCAGAGAGCCCTGTAAAGCGCTATGGGGCGGTATATAAGCCTAAATGCTATTGCTGCTTGTACTTCCACTGCTCTAATGGGTCCATAAAGGGTAAGGGTGGTTTTACAGCTTTGTATCCTCCCCCAGCAAAAGCAGACAAGTTTATCAACATTTTTTTTTTAATTAAAAACATGGGGAAGCAGAATCATCTTGCAGCACAGTGAAGCAAGCCATGCAGGCTTCGACAGAAAGCACACTGGACTTGAACCAAGCTATCAGGAAAAAGAAACCTTGGATGATTCAAAAGAAAACTACGTTCAGATAATTCTGCCAAGAGGAGTGGAAATTCTTTAGAGCTCAGCACTTTGTTAGAGGTCTAAATAAGCAGTGATTAGCAACCCAACCAGCCAATGTACACAGGGGTTGTTTGTTAGCAGGATATTAGGAAATATCTTTGCAACAACCTCGTAGAAAAGGTGCTCGTTGGTAAACCTAACGTTCCACTTTAAGAAACTTCATAGGTGAGTAGAGATTTGAACCCATCCTTCCTGTGTTCTATGCTGCATCACAATGCTCTCAACCAATGAGGAAAGAAAGGAAAACGTATTCATCTGCTCTGGATGGCAGCAAGAAATTTTAGTTCTTAATTTAGCCTGGAAACCAATGGTGGGATTCAAATAATTTAACAACCGGTTCTCTGCCCTAATGATTTCTTCCAACAACCAGTTCACCAAACTGCTCAGAAACTTAACAACCGGTTCTCCTGGAGTGAGTCATCTCTGGTGAGATGGACACAGCA